ATTTCAGAGCGCACGTGGCGTGTATTGGTTCATGGTAAAAATCTGCTTGGACTGACGCTTTAAACGCGGTATGTCATTAAGTGATGAGACATCTCTGTCAAAAGTTATGGCGTTGCCAGATGGGTCCGTCGAATATGGACAACCCTGTATATGTTTCGAAATTAACAGTAGGTTGGGATTTTTTAAGGTTTTTTTTTCAAGTATCTAAGATGCAAAAATTTTGTTTAAAATGTTTTAATTTTGTGCAATTATCCAAGATATCCTAATATATTTGTATATTGAAAGGATATCTCCACATTCCACATAGTTCAGTGCTCGTTGGTAAAATCAAGCAATTTATTAAAATCCCTTGGAATTTTCAAGTACATTTTTTTGATATCCCCAAAACAGTAATACACACTCTCACATGTAGCACATACAACCAACATAACATTCACATATGAATGTGAAATGTATAAAAGGAATGTGATTGCATGTGTGTGTGTATGCGTGTAGTTATTGTATTATACATTTATGTTTATGAGCATAAAAGATTATTTTGGCTGTACAAATGAGATAAATTTGACGATGGTAGGGAGTGAGGGAGGGAGGGCGGTTGAAAAAGGTTTATGGTAGAAAACTAACTGCATGAAATGTGCGAAATATCATGTTTACTGTTTTCTCAACACAGCATTAACAATTTTCTTGTGATTGGGTTTCCCTCTTTGTGTGGGATCACCAAAGTGAAAAATATGCTTATTTCTGATTTTTGCTGTTCATTTTTTGTTTTCCTTTTTTCGGTTTTCCGTTTTGGGGGCATAAAGTGTGGAAGGAATTTTTCATTATTTCTTTGCCATCGTTACAACCACAAAATCTAAGGGGTTCTTTGAGTATTTCATTGAGAGTTAATCAAGGATATCATATTGTACGATGTATAGATTCATGGGGGAATTATGTGTTCTTATTACCGTACATGTGAATGTTTTTCTTTTTTTATTTGGAAATTAATAATTCATAATTGATGATTGAAATTAAATGGAGATTACAATTTTCTTTGGCAAGGTAATGAAAAATTGATAAATCATTTTGTGTTTTTAGAAGAGTAGAGTGTATAATGTTTTTTTAAGGACCAACAACTTCGAGACTTTTTAAACAATATATTTTCAATTTAAGGAATATTTTCGTTAGGTAGGTCCTAAACAGCATGGGGTTTTAAAGAACATTTTTTTCAAGGACTCACACAAGCGTGGATTTTTTAACAAACGTGGATATTTTTTAAGAATATTTTTTCAAGAGTCATTTTTTCAGAGTGGATTTTAAAATAGATATGTTTTTAAGGGTCATAATAAACTTGGATTTTGTAAAGAAAAAATTTTCAAGGATCATAAGAAGCGAGGATGTTTTAAAGAATTTTCTTTCAATGATCTTAAGAAGCGTGGGTTTTTTAAAGAATATTTTCAAGGGTCATAAGAAGCGTGGATTTTTTTTAAACGGCGTGGATTTTTTCAACGGCCATAAGAAGCGTGGATTTTTTCAACGGCGTGGATTTTTTCAACGGTCATAAGCGGGGATTTTTTCGACGGTCATAAGAAGCGTGGATTTTTTCAACGGTCATAAGAAGCGTGAATTTTTTGAGCGGTCATAAGAAGCGTAGATTTTTTCAACGGTCATAAGAAGCGTGGATTTTTTCAACGGTCATAAGAAGAGTGGATTTTTTCAAAGGTCACAAGAAGCGTGGATTTTTTCAACGGTCATAAGAAGCTTGGATTTATTCAACGGTCATAAGAAGCGTAGATTTTTCCAACGGCCATAAGAAGCGTGGATTTTTCAACGGTCATAAGAAGCGGGGATTTTTTCGACAGTCATAAGAAGCGGGGATTTTTTCAACGGTCATAAGAAGCCTGGATTTTTTCAACGGTGGATTTTTTAAAGAATATTTTTTCAAGCGTGGATTTCTTAAAGAATATTTTTTTAAGCGTGGATTTTTTAAATAATATTTTTTCAAGCGTCGATTTTTTAAAGAATATTTTTTCAAGCGTGGATTTTTTAAAGAATATTTTTTCAAGTGTGGATTTTTTAAAGAATATTTTTTCAAGAGTGGATTTTTTAAAGAATATTTTTTCAAGCGTGGATTTTTTAAAGAATAATTTTTAAGTGTGGATTTTTTAAAAAATATTATTTCAAGTGTGGATTTTTTAAAGAATAATTTTTAAGTGTGGATTTTTTAAAAAATATTATTTCAAGTGTGGATTTTTTAAAGAATAATTTTTAAGTGTGGATTTTTTAAAAAATATTATTTCAAGTGTGGATTTTCATTTTTTTTTTCAAAGGTCGTGGGTTTTTTAAAAAATATTTTTCAAGCCTGGATTTTTTTAAAGAATATTTTCTCAAGCGTGGATTTTTTAAAGAATATTTTTTGAAGCGTGGATTTTTTAAAGAATATTTTTTCAAGCGTGGATTTTTTAAAGAATATTTTTTCAAGGGTCGAGGATTTTTTAAAGAATATTTTTTCGAGGGCCGTGGATTTTTTAAAGAATATTTGTTCAAAAGTTGATTTTAAAAGAATATTTTTTAAGCTTAGATTTTTAAAGAATAGTTTTTTAAGCTTGGATTTTTAAAGAATATTTTTTTAAGCTTGGATTTTTAAAGAATATTTTTTAAGCTTGGATTTTTAAAGAATATTTTTAAGCTTGGACTTTTAAAGAATATTTTTTCAAGCTTAGATTTTTAAAGAATATTTTTTTGAGCTTGGATTTTTAAAGAATATTTTTTTAAACTTAGATTTTTAAAGAATACTTTTTAAGCTTGGATTTGTAAAGAATATGTAATGGTAATAAAAAATGTTGATTGTTGAAAGAATATTTTTTCAATGGCCATCAGAAGCACGATTTTTTTAAGGAATATTCTTAAAATATCCATAATGAGATGCATGGGTATTTTAAGAATATTTTTGCGAGACCGTTGGATTTTGTTAAGAATATTTTTTTTTAATCACACAAGCAGGCGACTTATTTTTTGCAAGAAATACATTTTCGTAGATTATCATACGTTTGGATTTTATAATTTCTTTTAAATTTCCGCATAGCTATCAATTTACTACAAGCTTGTCATTGCTTTGTCTCACTCTTTCCCCCAGTTTGGCCCTTATGGAAATATATCGTTTTAGAATGACATAAAAGCATTATTGCATTGCCTTTAAAAATTCATAAAATCAAAACATTTGCAATACCATAAAATATTGCAAAAACAAAACACAACAACAAATCAGCGACACGTCAGTGAAAGCTAACGCTGAACGATATAACGTATGGCTCTGGTATGTTAATACGATAGACACCAGTCGACAGGACGATGACAGCGTCAACAGTTTTGCCATGATATGCGACACTCTCGCTCTCACTCTCATGCTCCTGCAGCAGCAGATAAAAGGGCTCAAACAAACCGGAAAATATTTCATTGCTGCTGCTGTTGCTGACAATTGCCAGGCCTTTAACTGGAGAATAGGAAAACGGGGTTAGCGGTGTTGGTTAGCTGGATGGCTGACTGACTGGCTTGGTTGGTAGACTCGGCTGCTAAACTCAAATATCTGTGATGTGGGCTTTGTGACAAGTAAATAGGCTTTTTGAAATGCGTGTCACAGCATACATTAAATGAGAGCGCAGAGATTGTCGTTTGCATTTCCTTGTCAAAACTAATTGCACCGCACATCAGTCAAATGTCACAACGGCGAAAAAACACAAACAAAAATAGAGTTTCTAGCTCCGCCGCCAGCCAGCCAAAAGTCCTTTTGGCTGTGTTTCTTATTTTCCTCAACTGAATGCAGTGTTCCACAAAATATTTGTTTTCTGTCTTAACCAAAGCCATCTCTGACATCTGGGTGTGTGTGTGATTGTCAAACCCAACCCCAAACGGAGCAAAAAATTCTCAATTTTGTTTTATTTTTTGTAGTTGGCTATGGGGATATGCAAATTGTTACGGATGCAAAATGATTGGAATGGAAGTGAGAAAGTAGAGAAATTATACTGATTGCACAAACGAAAAAGCCAAGTGACACTGCACTGCAACGGATGACGAAAAAGAAAGTCGAATGCATATCAAAAAAGAAAAAAAAACACAAATATTGGGATCAATAATCGAAATGGAATGCTGAGAAGAAAGTTGTCAAGAGACAAGAGCGGTAGAATGGTTTGTCGTTATAGAAAAGATTTCAATTTACTAAGTTTTATGATATCATACTGCAGACTGTGGCAACTTGAGTCCCAGTGTACGAGTGCGTTCATGTACGAGTGTGTGTACGTTTGTATTTTAAAAATTTAAATTGAATTGTCAAACAGAAAACTAAAATGTTGATGAACCCATAAGAAATGTGTCACATGGTTCAATTGCATATTGAGGAAATGGATTGTTTTATATAAAAGATTAAATTCAATCACAAGGAATAATGGAAGAAAATTTTGCTGACGGATAAGGCGATTCAGAAGCAAAGGATAATTTTTAGAGGACGTTTAAGGGGATATTTTATAAATATTTTTTTCTAGGACCCATACAAATATGGATTTTTTGAGGGATATTTGTTCACAGGAAAGTTTGGTAAAAGAGTATTTTTTTCAAGGATTTTTAAGCAATATGGGATTTTTTGAATATTTTTTAAATTAATTTCTGACATCAACAAAGGAGTGAAGATTTTAACAAATATTTTTTCTAGGACCAAAGATGCGTTAATTTTTTAAAGAATATTTTTTCTAGAACCAAACAGGTTTCGATTAAAAAAAAAATCAAGGAGCCAACAAGGCGTGGAATCAAAAAATCAAGGAGCCAAGAAGACGTTTTTTTCTAAAAAAATATTCCAGAACCCCTACAAGGTGAGAATTTTTTAATCAAACAATTTTAAAGGACCCTTTTTTTAAAGAATATTTTTCCTATGTTAACATAGGTTATCTTTAAAATATGTTTAAATGGCTACAACATTGTTAAGCATTGCTATTCATCCATTTGCCCCTCACGTTTTAAACCCCCAACAACTATTTAATATTACTCACCCGAAAGAAATCCCACGTCGAACCATGCAACAGTGTACCATATTGAACTTCTGTTTGCATAGCCAAATCCTCGGGGGAATTTATTGGTGTAACCATTCGTTCGACCGTAAGAAAAGCTGCCAAATTGGCTGTATACGATGAGATGAGTATGAGGGTAAAGAACCACCATACGGCACCAACAATACGACCAGATATTGAACGCGGTGATATGTCACAACCCTGCTGCATAAAGGCGGCCAATGAAAACCAAAACGAATTTAAAATGCTAAAATCATTGACAGCTGCGGATGCTGGTGGTATAGCGGGGCCGCCTACCACCCCCGTGGCACCTGGCGTTACGGCTGGCATCGGACCGGGTACTGGTACACCGCCAATGATACCCGGTGGTTGTTGATTGGCAAGTTGGTCATGATGAGCATGGTTTTCTATAAAAAATAAAGATAGGGGAAACAATTTTATTTCAGAAAAAAAATAAGCTGTCTTTAAATACAAATAAGGCATAATGTAATGGAAATCGTTTAGTAGTTTTTCATTGAAATCGTATGTGTTCTTTAAAACTGATGCCAAAATTTCTGTGCTGCAAAAAAAAAGTAAAAACTCGGAAAAGGGTGTGTTCGCCACGTCCCCCTTTTGTATGTATGTTTGTGATTTTTTATTTTTTTTTTGTGGAAAGGAACTTGGTTTTTGTCATTGCTCTTTCTTAAAACTCATTTCAAGTTGCAAGAGCTGCACCATATGAATTTCAACATCTGGTCGAAAACATACACAAACATATAGCCATATTGTTTGGCATATACGTCATGATTTAGAAACTATTCATTTAGCTGTACTTTTGCCTACATCTGCTGAAATTGGCATTGTTCCTCTGTGTGTATGACATTTTCTGGATTTTAAAATTTCTTTGAGAGATTTCCTTGGGCTTAAATACGCATGTTGAAGTATTTTATTTAAAGGGTGTAGAGCCTATTTTTTAAAACATATTTATGAATTGCAACCAATGAACGTGGAACTTTTAAATTTTTGAACAACTACCGAGGGCACTATATTAACCACTTCGAATGGGCGTGAAAATTTAGAACTATTTTTAAAAGAACCATCTATGAAAGTACATAAATAATAAATAACCAGTAGGGAAAGTAGTAAAGTCGAACTGGGCCGAGTATATGATACCCTTCACCACTTTGGGTATGTGCTACATATGTCTCCTAACAAAATCCGCCTTTTCGAAAGTACATTGACATGACATTGAACAAACTAGAATATGTGAACTGGAACCTATACTAAATTTCATTTCATTCGGGCAAGTTTAGAGTCGTTTGCGTACAATGGGACAAATTTATGTAAATCGATTTTATTTATAGTCTCAATTTGATACGTTTTTCGGATCAAACAGTGCGACATTTACCAAAAATCCATCGAAAATACAAATGGGAGCTACATTCATCATTCTACATTCAATTCAGTGCCCTGTGCCAAATTTCGTGCAAATCGAAGGCTATCTAGGGACTTTGGTGCATCATTTCTATTAAATCGGACGAAAATATATATGTGGGAGTTATATCTAGATTTGAACCGATTTTAACGAAACTTAACACAATTCAGTACGCTGTGCCAAATTTCGTACCATTTACATAAAATGCTATATATGGGAGGGTGCTATATCCAAATATGAACAGATTTTCACTAAACTAAGCATACATCACTCTAGACTTAATTCCGTACGCTGTGCCAAATTTCGTGCAAATTCGGACGAAAATATATATGGGAGCTACATCTAAAGCTGAAACCGATTAGCACACATCTTTCTACACTCCATTCAGTACGCTATGTCAATGTTCGTGCAAATCGAAGGATATATAGGGACTTTGGTACACCATTTACCTAAAATCGGACGAAACTATATATGGGAGCTATATCTAAATATGAACCGATTTTGTCGATACTTAGCACACATAATTCTATACCCAATTCAGTACGCTATGTCAAATTTCGTGCAAATCGAAAGATATATGGGGGCTTTGGTGCACTATTTACCTAAAATCAGACGAAACAATATATGGGAGCTATATCTAAATCTGAACCGATTTACCCCAATTTCAATAGGGTTCGTCCTTGGGCCAAACAAATGAGCTGTACCAAATTTCATCCAAATCGGATTATAAATGCGACCTGTACTTTTTTTACAATTTTATACCAACAGACGGACATAAAATAAAAGCAGTGAGCGGAGCAGTATGTCGGACGGGGCCGACCATACGTTACCCTACACAACTACCACGAAACTCTTACTTTCTGGATTTTTACTCCGAGTTTGGGCAATATTTCGTGATGCCCGATTAGAGGTCAACAGCACTTCTTCCATACGTTGGCATATATTCCGAATATTACTAATGTTTAGTACAATACTTCTAATTACTTGTCCATATTCCATTCACCGTGGGTTGTTTTGAAACTCTCGAAACTCGAAAAAACACAAAAAATAAGTTTTCGGTCCACTTCATCATAATATTATTATCTGATCATCAACGAAAATTATGGGAATTGCCCTTGACCATAACTGGAACCCCATGGAACAGTTCAAAGCGATCAGCGCTATATTTCCGCCCTCTAGTGTGGTAACGGGTTACTAAATAATATATGAATACGTAAGCACCTATGAATATTTACGTGTAACTCCCACATCCGAGTACATACGACAATATAATTGGTATCAATTTAAAGGTCAACCACTCCTCTTGGATATACTATCAACTTCTCAGGTCTATTAGGAGTAAATATATACGCCATAGAATACAAATTTTGTAATTTTTCACACAAAAGTCAGGATCCATTTGACCCGCTAAATATTGACCGACCTTTCTTAAAACAGGCATTCTCATTCTTTGGCCCTTCCCCATGTAAAATTTCACGATGTTCGGGCCATAATTGCGGCCTCTGGAGCGACCAGAAAAGCCGACAAAAATTTTGTATTTGGTCCATTACATCCCCTAAATATTAACCGATCTTTACCAAAAACAATAGGGGTCTTCATTGGCCAAAACCCATCCAACTTGCAAAATTTCGTGAAGAATGAACCATAACTGTGACAGGTGTTATAATTAAAGAAGTTTTAAAATTTGTAACATCCTTCCTCTCATTACCTCCCAAAAAATATTCAAAGATATGGTCTAGTGCATTTAAATAGTTCCACGATTCTCCCCATATGAATTTAAATTGCTTATGGCCCAGCGGCATTGATAGTAGTTATCTGCGGAACGTTACGTTTGCGTTTCCCCCTTGATATTTTAGGCGAACATTTTTTGTTTGGTTTCACAAACACATCCACATTTTGCAGTCCTTTCATAGCTCCAATAGTTTGAGACACGATACTGATATTTTGATGGCAATGCTGTGCCTTTGACTATTTTTTCCATGTTGTTTTTTTTTTTTTTTTTTTTGCATTTCTCACGACTTCACAGGCAACATCTCTTGTGTTGTTGAGAAATTCAACGACAACAACAGCAACAACTAGAACAGCTTATTCATAGCAATGATGTCTGGCTAGATGTTAACAAGTTGTACATATGGATGCTATGAATTCTGTGAATAATTTGTGTAAGTGTGTGTGCATGCATGTATGTGTTGTTCATTTGTTGTATTTTTGTTTCTTTGCTGTGAGAGCGAGTGTGTGTTGTTTGTGTGAGCATTGCCTTGAGGTTATCGTCGTGCTTGGCATAAAAATGTTTTATTTTCTTGTATTTCTTTTTTGTTTATTTTTGTGTTTTTTTTTTTTTGTTAACACACATACGGGCCTCTCTGTGTTTGTGTTGTCTTTTTGTTTACTCTGTACGTTTTTTTATTTCTTTCTTTTCAGTATCTTTACGCAAAAATTAAATTAAGGCTCACATTCAGGCCAGGCTATCATTATTGCAAACACATGTGTGTATGTGTTAGTTACTAATACATATGTATGTGTAAACATGCATTTACACAATTTGTGTGCTGCTATAAACCAGCATTCTACATAAGAATCTACTTGAATGTACAACAAATTCCGAAACAGCCGCCCTCGACTGCGCCCCTCCAAAAAAAAATGGACCTGCCAGCATAAGTCAATTTAGCATGCTGACAATGATGACGATGAGTGATTTGAATTTTCTGTTTATTTTGCTGTACATTCGTGTATTTTGTTGTTGTTTTTTTTTGTTTGTTGTTATTGAAGGTTGAAACCAAGTGGCAACATTTTCTTTTACACACACAATCGTATATAAATTTTTTTCATTTCTCTCGTCGGATGCCAGACATCGAAATGTCCTAGGAGGTTTCATGACAAGAGAAACACCAACCAACAACAACAGCAGCAACGTGATACAAGAATGTCACGCACAAGCGTGTATTAAAAATTACACTTCATGCGTATGACTTGTAAAGACGTGAGTAAAACACGACACAGGCAACACATTTATTTGTCGACATGACATTTGTTGCATAAAGATTTTGTTTTGCCCATTTTCCCCCTCAACTGCGCACAAAAATTAAAGAATTCCGGCGAGAATATTTTACGATAAAGTATTAAATTTTACTCAAGAGATAAAATAAAAAAATAATATAGGTTATTAGATAATTTATTAACCACATATGAGGATGCCAATTATTGTTATTATGAAATTGTTAAATAATTTGTTGTTTTACAGTGTTTAGAAATTAAAACATTTTCCCAAGGGGAAAAAACATATGCGGATTTTTTGAAGAATACTTTTTTTAAGAGACAAAAGAAGTGCAAATATGCTAAGTGACCAGGAGCAGATTGGTTAAATAATATTTTAAGGAGCGAAGTTGCAAGGATTTTAAACATGATTTTTAAAGGATAATTTTTCAAGGACTCATACAAGGCGTGGATTTTTTAAAGAATCTTCTTTCAAGGACTCATACAAGGCGTGGATTTTTTAAAGAATCTTTTTTCAAGGACTCATACAAGGCGTGGATTTTTTAAAGAATCATTTTTCAAGGACTCATACAAGGCGTGGATTTTTTAAAGAATCTTTTTTCAAGGACTCATACAAGGCGTGGATTTTTTAAAGAATCATTTTTCAAGGACTCATACAAGGCGTGGATTTTTTAAAGAATCATTTTTCAAGGACTCATACAAGGCGTGGATTTTTTAAAGAATCACTTTTCAAGGACTCATACAATGCGTGGATTTTTTAAAGAATCATTTTTCAAGGACTCTTACAAGGCGTGGATTTTTTAAAGAATCATTTTTCAAGGACTCATACAAGGCGTGGATTTTTTAAAGAATCATTTTTCAAGGACTCATACAAGGCGTGGATTTTTTAAAGAATAATTTTTCAAGGACTCATACAAGGCGTGGATTTTTTAAAGAATGTTTTTTTTTAAAGAATATTTTTTCAAGGACTCATACAAGGCGTGGATTTTTTAAAGAATATTTTTTCAAGGACTCATACAAGGCGTGGATTTTTTAAAGAATATTTTTTCAAGGACTCATACAAGGCGTGGATTTTTTAAAGAATCTTTTTTCAAGGACTCATACAAGACGTGGATTTTTTAAAGAAATTTTTTTTTTTTAATGACTCATACAAGGCGTGGATTTTTTAAAGAATATTTTTCATTTTTTTAAAGAATATTTTTTCAAGGATTCATACAAGACGTGGATTTTTTAAAGAATATTTTTCAAGGACTACCATAAGGCGTGGATTTTTTAAAGAATATTTTTTCAAGGACTCATACAGACGTGGATTTTTTAAAGAATATTTTTTCAAGGACTCATACAGACGTGGATTTTTTAAAGAATATTTTTTCAAGGACTCATACAAGGCGTGGATTTTTTTTTTAAAGAATATTTTTCAAAGACCCATAAAAGGCGTGGATTTTTTAAAGAATATTTTTTTCAAAGACTCATACAAGGCGTGGATTTTTTAAAGAATATTTTTTTCAAAGACTCATACAAGGCGTGGATTTTTTAAAGAATATTTTTTCAAGGACTCATACAAGGCGTGGATTTTTTAAAGAATATTTTTTCAGGGACTCATACAAGGCGTGGATTTTTTAAAGAATATTTTGTCAGGGACTCATACAAGGCGTGGATTTTTTAAATAATATTTTTTCCGGGACTCATACAAGGCGTGGATTTAAAAAAACGGGGACTCATACAAGGCGTGGATTTAAAAAAACGGGGACTCATACAAGGCGTGGATTTTTTAAAGAATATTTTTTTCAAATACTCATACAAGGCGTGGATTTTTTAAAATTTTTTTCTAGGACTTATACAAGGCGTGGATTTTTTAAAGAATATTTTTTCAGGGACTCATACAAGAGGCGTGGATTTTTTAAAGAAGATTTTTTCAGGGACTCATACAAGGCGTGGATTTTTTAAAGAAGATTTTTTCAGGGACTCATACAAGGCGTGGATTTTTTAAAGAATATTTTTTCAGGGACTCATACAAGGCGTGGATTTTTTAAAGAATATTTTTTTCAAGGACTCATACAAGGCGTGGATTTTTTTTAAAGAATCTTTTTTTCAGGAACTCACACAAGGCGTGGATTTTTTAATGAATATTTTTTTTCAGGGACTCATACAAGGCGTGGATTTTTTAAAAAATATTTTTCAGGGACTCATACAAGGCGTGGGTTTTTTAAAACATATTTTTCAGGGACTCATACTAGGCGTGGATTTTTTAAATAATATTTTTCCAAGACAAACAAGGCGTGGATTTTTTAAAGAATATTTTTAAGGACTCATACAAGGCGTGGATTTTTTAAAGAATATTTTTCAAGGGACTCATACACAGGCGTGATTTTTTAAAGAATCATTATTCAGGGACTCATACAAGGCGTTGATTTTTTAAATATTTTTCAATGACTCATACAAGGCCTGGATTTTTTAAAGAATATTTTCTTAAGGACTCATACAAGGCGTGGATTTTTTAAAGAATATTTTTTCAAGGACTCATACAAGGCGTGGATTTTTTAAAGAATATTTTTTCAATGACTCATACAAGGCGTGGATTTTTTAAAGAATATTTTTTTCAAAGACTCATACAAGGCGTGGATTTTTTAAAGAATCATTTTTCAAGGACTTATACAAGGCGTGGATTTTTTAAAGAATCATTTTTCAAGGACTCATACAAGGCGTGGATTTTTTTAAGAATCATTTTTAGGACTCATACAAGGCGTGGATTTTTTAAAGAATCATTTTTCAATGACTCATACAAGGCGTAGATTTTTTAAAGAATCATTTTTCAAGGACTCATACAAGGTGTGGATTTTTTAAAGAATCATTTTTCAATGACTCATACAAGGCGTAGATTTTTTAAAGAATCATTTTTCAAGGACTCATACAAGGCGTGGATTTTTTAAAGAATCTTTTTTCAAGGACTCATACAAGGCGTGGATTTTTTAAAGAAACATTTTTCAATGACTCATACAAGGCGTAGATTTTTTAAAGAATCATTTTTCAATGACTCATACAAGGCGTAGATTTTTTAAAGAATCATTTTTCAAGGACTCATATACGGCGTGGATTTTTTAAAGAATCATTTTTCAAGGACTCATACAAGGCGTGGATTTTCTTAAAGAATAACAATAACATCCTCGTGAGTTAAAAACCAGTAAGGAGAGTAGTAAAGTCGGACTGGGCCGACTATATAATACCCTTCACCACTTGGGATGTATTGTACATATGTATCCTTACAATTACATGTCAATGTGCCCTCGACGGAACATGCTCATGTCTTTCTGCAACTTATGCTAAATTTATTTTTATTTGGACAAATTTATGTAAAATCGTACGAATATATAAGTATATGTGGTAACTATTTCGAAATCTGAACCGATCTTCCCGAAACTTATCACACATCATTCTAGACTCAATTCAGTACGCTATGCCAAATTTAGTGCAAATCGAAAAATATATAGGGACTTTGGTGCCCCATTTACCTTAAATCGGACGAATCTATATACGGGAGCTATATCTAAATCTGAACCGATTTTTACGAAATTTAACACACATCGTTCTAGACTTAATTTAGTACGCTGTGCAAAATTTCGTGCAAATCGAAAGATATAAAGGGACTTTGGTGCACTATTTACCTAAAATCGGATGAAAATGTATATGGGAGCTATATCTAAATCTGAACCGATCTTCTCGAAACTTGACACACATCATTCCAGACACAATTCAATCTGAACCGATTTTTACGAAACTTAGTACACATCATTCTAGGCTTAATTCTGTACGCTGTACCAAATTTCGTGCAAATCGAAAGATATATAGGGACTTTGTTGTACCATTTAACTTAAATCGGACAGAAATATATATGAGAGCTATAACTAAATCTTAACCGATTTTTCCCTATTTCAATAGGGTTCATCCTTGGGCCACATAAGTGAGCTGTGCTAAATTCCATCCAAATCGGATCATAACTGCGATCTGTACTTTGTTTACAATTTGACATCTACAGACGGACGGACGGACATCCATAAATCGACTCAGAAAGCGATTCTATGCATGTTCTCAAAAGGAACCATGTGTCTATCTCGTTTCCTTTTGCCTGTTACAAACATATACACAAAGACATAATACCCTGTGCCACAGTGTGGTGAAGGGTATACAAATTTTATTATTTTTGTTATTAATTTGTATAACTCACCTGCTGGATATTGAACAATCCGCCATTCGTATGGTGAAAATCTCGATACAAAGAATAGAACAATGCTGACACCAATGTAGCTGAATATTACGCTCACCTGTAAATTGAAAAAAATATCATTTTAAAAATTAAAACTACAATTTATATTTATTAGAAAAACAGTTTTTTCTTTAAATAAGTTTTATTATATTTCTTTAAATAAATTAATTTTCTAATTTCTGTTTCCTTCACCTATAGTCCTATTATTTGAACATACTACATATATGTTGACCAAAAAATATATAATAGGCAACTAAATGCCATTGTTAGCATTGTAATATTTTCATATCTGTATTCTTCTTTCAGCTCACAATAAATGTCTATTCTACACATGGCTCTTGAAAGCTTGTAGTAATTTCTTTGTAATATACCCCAAGGTCTTATGTGTTATTATCATACCTTTGTTATAACTATGGGAGTAATAACCGTACAGATGTACACTCACACATATGTCCACACACACACCAACATTGATTGAAACAAATTATTCTAGTACATGTCCCTACTAAATGCTTATGAATATAAAATGGAATATCCAGACGCAACCCAACAATAGGTTTGTGATACCTTCATTAGCAACGACTTGTTTTCAAAAGAAAAGAGAAATTGAAAAACAAAGAGAAAAAAATTCTATGCAGCAAGGTATGAGGAATAATAAAATATCACATTGAGATATCACATAAAAGTAGACGAGGAATACACCGAACAAAAACTATTTATTAGATGAGGAAATTCAATAAGACCAGCAAACTGTGTGACACATGAACAGCTGTTGATATCCAACTAACAAAGAAGATACACATTATATTGTTCTTTCATTTTACAAATGACCTTGATATTAGGAATATTTTATTACCAAGCTTAAGCCAGAGGCAGAACGAGAAAGTTATAGAAAACTGGAGGGGTGCGTACACATAATGTATAACACAAAATAACAATGTGCAGAAAGCCATATAAAAATGTATAACATGGCTAATGTCATTTTATCTCCTTAACATACATATTGTATACACATACATACGAACGTACATATGAATATGTTAGTGAAAGTAGAATACAATCACTCCTACTCAGATATCACCGTACTATATTAGATATCATTGAATAATATTACCGCTTATGGGGGATCCTAGGACTTAATTTCACTGGTTACTGGTTACATTTTACCCAGTATACCAAGGATTATTTTCACAAAGTCCTTATTAAATATAACAATACATTCATGCATATATGTATTACAGTAAGGAGGAATATAAATAGCAACATTAATTTTGTATTGAATTTCGGTTATCGATTTTTTTTGTTATGAATAGAAATAATTTCAAACTTCAGTTTGCAACTAAAACGCAAACGGAGGGATTTTTGTGTGTCCGGTGGATTATTTTTGTAAACAATACAGGCCACAGAAAAAAAATTTTGCATGTAGGATGTTATAAATGAAGACCCCTATCTTTTTGGAAAAGATCGGTTAATATTTAGGGGATGAAATGGACCAAAAACATTATTTTTGTCGATTTTTCTGGTCGCTCCAGAGGCCGCAATTATGGCCCAAACACCGCGAAATTTTGCATGGAGAAGGGGATCGGGCCAGAGAATAAGCATGCATGTTTTGATAAAGATTGAGCGGGTCAAATGGACCCTGACTTTTGTGTGAAAAATGGCCAAATTTGTATTCTATGGCATATATATTTACTCCTGGAGGGTGTAGACCCCAGGAGTTGATAGCATATCCAAGAGGAGTGGTTGGCCTTTAAATTGATACTAAATATAGTGATGTATCTACTCAGATGTGGGATTACAGTCAAATATTTAGAATCCTTTATTTAGTAACCCATTACCATATTAGAGAGAGAAATATCGCGCTGATGGCTTTGAAATTTTTCATGAAGTTCCAGTTATAGTCAAGAACAACGCCTACAATTTTCGGTGATGATCAGGATACAATTTTGGGATGAAATGGACGGAAAACATAATTTTTTGTGTGTTTTCGAGTAGAGTATAAACCGAAAATCACAACACAACCCACCGTGAAGGTAATCTGGACAAGTAATTAGAAGGACTGTATTGAATATTCGAAAAAAGTAAGAAAGAGGTGTTGTTGACCTCTAATCGGACAACAGGGGGCAAATATCACGAAATACTACTCAGACTCAGAATAAACATCCTCAGAAAGTTAGAGTTCGCGGTAGTTGTGTAGGGTATCGTATGGTCGGCCCCGTCCGACTATACTGCTCCGCTCACTGGTTTTTTGTTATGAATAGAAATAATTTCAAACTTCAGTTTGCAACTAAAACGCAAACGGAGGGATTTTTTGTAAGGTGGATTATTTTGAAACAATTGTGAAGAAAAAATGAATGTATAGTTATAAGAAAATCTTTTTGCAAGTATCAAATTTAAGGGACCTTAATGAGAACAGAAGATTTTCTGAATGAACCAATCCTGAATTTTTTGCACAGAATATTATTACAGCCGATTTTTATACCCTTCACCATACTGTGGTACAGGGTATTATGTCTTTGTGCATATGTTTGTAACAGCAAAAGGAATCGAGATAGACCCGTGGTTCCTTTTGAGAATATGCATAGAATCCTTTTCTGAGTCGATTTATGCATGTCCGTCCGTCCGTCGGTTGATGTTAAATTGTAAACAATGTACAGGTCGCATTTATAATCCGATTTGAATGAAATTTGGCACAAGTCACTTATTTGGCCAAAGGACGAACCCTGTTGAAATTGGAAAAAATCGGTTCATATTTTATGATTTTAGGTAAATGATGCACCAAAGTGCCTGAAAATTATTTGATTTTTACCAAATTTGGCATAGCGTACTCAATTAAGTGTAAAATGACGTGTGCTAAGTTTCGTGAACATCAGTTGAGATTTAGATATAGCTACCGTATATAGTTTCGCCCGATTTTAGGTAAATGGTGTACCAAAGTCCCCATATATCTTTCGATTTGCAGGGAATTTTGCATTGTGTACTAAATTGAGTCTAGAATGAATGTGCTAAGTTTCGTGAAAATTGGTTCAGATATATTTATATATATAAATTGTGCACTAAACACCCAATTTGGCCCCAGTTTGGCCGACTGGCACACAATTTTATACAATGTACTGAAGTTACTACAACCTTTCGTGTGTCAAGTTTTCTTGGAATCGGTTTAGATTTACATATAGCGCCTATATATATTTTCAACCGATTTTAACTAAATGGCAAGTTTCCCTGAAATCGGTTCAGGTATTGAAATAATATAAATCATCTCTGGCAGCTTCATATATAATTTCGTTCTATTAATGTTAACAAAATTTAGCATAGGTTGAAGAATTGCATGTGTAGCGATTGATCTTGGTCGGTTTGCATATAGATAAAGATCACATATTTAAGTTCGTTTAATTTCACGTCAATGTTCCTTCGAAAAGGCGACGTCCGTCAGGATACATATGAGGAATATACCCAAATGGGTGAAGGGTATCATATAGTCAGCCCAGACCGACTTTACTACTTTCCTTACTGGTTTATAATAATATATTTCTGAAAATTCAAATAGGCAAGAATTTTCTGAAAGAATATTTCTTATATAGATATAAGAATAGATTTTTTTAAGAATGTTTTTAAGTCCCAAACTTGTGTGGATTTTTATGAATATTTTTTATGGTTTGGGGTTTTTAACCCCAAATATTTTTTTGCATGGACCAATACAGGCGTGGATATTTTAGAATATGTTTCAAGGATCTTTACAGTCATGGATTATTTAAGGATCTTTACAGGGGTGGATTCTTAAAGGAATATTTTTAAGGATCTTTACAGGCGGGGATTCTTTAAGGAATATTTTTTAAGGATCTCTTCAGGCGTGGATTCTTTAAGGAATATTTTTTAAGGATCTTGACAGGGGTTGATTCTTTAAGAAATATTTTTTAAGAATCTTTACAGGCGTGGATTCTTTAAGGAACCTTTTTTAAGGATCTTGACAGGGGTGGATTCTTTAAGGAATATTTTTTAAGGATCTTTACAGGCGTGGATTCTTTAAGGAATATTTTTAAAGGATCTTTACAGGCGTGGATTCTTTAAGGAATATTTTTGGAGACCCACAGAAGGCGTGGATTCTTTAAGGAATATTTTTGGAGACCCACAGAAGGCGTGGATTCTTTAAGGAATATTTTTGGAGACCCACAGAAGGCGTGGATTCTTTAAGGAATATTTTTGGAGACCCACAGGCGTGGATTCTTTAAGGAATATTTTTTAAGGATCTTTACAGGCGTGGATTATTTAAGGATCTTTACAGGCGTGGATTCTTTAAGGAATATTTTTTAAGGATCTTTACAGGCGTGGATTATTTAAGGATCTTTACAGGCGTGGATTCTTTAAGGAATATTTTTTAGGATCTTTACAGGCGTGGATTCGTTAAGGAATATTTTTTAAGGATCTTTGCAGGCGTGGATTCTATAAGGAATATTTTTTAAGGATCTTTGCAGGCGTGGATTCTATAAGGAATCTTTTTTCAAGCATCAATAGGCGCAAGGCGTAAACTTTTTAAAGAATTTTTATACAAGGAAGCAAAAAGTATGGATTTACTATTTTTTTCCAGGAAGAAAAAGGCAGGATTTCTTTAAGAATGTTTTTTAAGCATCAATTTACTGCATGGATTTTTTAAAGAATATTTTTTTCAAGCATCAATTCATGGAGTGGATTTTTTAAAGATTATGTTTTCAAGCATCAATTTCAGGCGTTGATTTTTAAAGAATATATTTATAAGAATAAATAATATTTATTGATATTTATTGAAGTATCAAGGACCAATGCGTGCGTTGTTTTTTTATAGAATATTTCAAGGACCCAAACAAGTATGGACTTTTACAAAAGTAAATATAATTTTTCAAGAACCCAAACAAATTGTTCATAAGTCTATATTTTACGACAACAGCAAAACTATGACTCATCGACCCCAAGGTGTTTGGATCAAGTCCGTTTTATACCATTTGCAGTGGATTTACAAGTGTCCGTCCAGTCATGGTGGTTGGTGTGCAGGATATGCCCGATATGAGCAATGTGTGTCTGCAA